TACGAATTTTTTGTTGAAGCCGGAAGTTTATTTACGTATGAGCGGATAATGGCTTGTATCCTAGAGTGATTGACTTTTTTCCGTCGCTGCTATCATTTTTCTCTTTCCGCTATGTCTTTACAGTAGTTTCATTGAATCATATAGGAGGAGTTTGCCGATATCGAAAATTTTCCTCCTAAACTTGAAAATTTTGGGGTACACAGTATGCTCACCTGTACGAGAGGAAAAATAAAACTATACATTCAACATGATGCTAGCATGAAACATGGGGGAGCAGGAAGTTTTATGCCTATCTCGTTTCAGTACACTTCCTATTGTTGGTGACTCTATTTGGCGATTGACTATGTACAATAATCTGAATGCAATGGTGTTATTCCTACCACTCATGTTGTTTTTGTAAGTTACTCTGTATCGTTGCGGATACAATATCAATTTCTGCGAGTTTAGCGGAGAATTGGGTGAAGTGATATATTTTCGACGCCTTTTTAATGTGCTGTTTTGGATGTGGATGTCGTTATCTGGAGTTTTCGGTTTTGCCATGGGATACGTTACTGGATGGCAAATTCAGGTTGAGAATGGTTTTATGTAGCCTCAGAATTTCATCTTTTGATGTTTTTCAAACCTGTTGCTACTCTTATTCGGCTACACTTTATCATTCACGAATTCAGGCTACCTCAGCATTGACGCACAACATATCAGGAACTGCGAAGGCGGCAGCTCAAACAGTGATGGCAGTCATATACTTTTCAGAAGTCAAAACATTTATGTGGCAAGTATTTTATCATTTGGTTTTTATTTCAAAATAATAAGAAAGAAAGCTAAGTCGTCGAGTCATCGACCCATGTGTTACTGTAGATTGGCAGATTTTGCTCTTTTGCGCTTCTGGTCAAGGCTGCGAATGGTCAGATAGATTTCCATCCCAATATCTGCAATTAGAAACTCCAACATTTGTATTACACCGTGCAGTTGTTTTTCAATCAGCAAATACTGTTTTCCAGGTGGGTCAGCAACGTCATCGTCTTGTTTGGATCTGCTGCATATACTTACGTGAGAAAACAAGAGATGGACAAGAAGGTATGTTGCTTGCTTCTATGCGCTGTTACCGGATAAGTGGCAAAAGATTCGAAACTTGTTGCTCAATCTCATGAACAGTCGCCCTTTAATGGAGTTTGGAGAGTGGTGTAAAGTTTGAGTTGCTGACATTTGAGGACAGTAGTTATGACCGGTGGGGATAAAAGGTTTGTTCCATTCCTTGCCCATCAAGTATTCTCTGGAAAGGTGATTTGGTATGAGTGGCCGGTAGCATTGAAGCACTGACTTGGTAATGGATTTCCCTGCAAATTGAGCTAA